GGAGAGGTCTCATTTTAATCAGAAATTTGCGGGCTACAATCATGCCTCATTAAGAACGGTTCGGGTTATTTTTTGGGGTTTCTGAAAAACTCGTTTTCTAGAAAACCAGGTCTTCGAAAAGCTATGAGGAAGCCGCATGGTCGTATTCGTAATCAGCATGGTCGATAACCTATAACCCACTAGATTCCGAGCAAAAAGCGTTTAATCACTTCGTGGGGTTCCCTCGTAAGATGTTAATAAGAACTTATTAAGAATTATTATCTTTTTTAATAAGATTCACTTATGGGTGATTGAGAATGTTGAATATTTTGTTTAAGTGTTCATATATTTCTTTTACATTGCAGAGTGTAGTTCTAGTTTGAGTTTGCTGTTCTGCATTGTTAAAAAACTGCAGACAAACAGAACGAAAATAAGTTTTATACTTTAGATGTTCACCTTTGGACAGGTAATGTCTACTCTCTTAAGACCCTGCCTTTCCTCAGAAACGATGTACTGCACCACTTTCTAGAAAGTTCCATATCATTCCCTAAGCGCGTAACACACTTTTTTTGTGTAAGCGTATTTGGTTATACTGATTATTTTTGATTTTAATCTACCCTACACATAAGAGCCATTTACACCGAAAAAAAGACTTTGGATTTTCCGACTTTTACGTATTGTAACAGATTAAGGTACATTTTTAAATTCTATTCGAGTCCAAAGGCCACTGCAATTATATATGTCTCTATAGTCCATTAGACTTTACAAGTCTATTAAGTGTAATTAAATCTTAAAAGGTTAAAAAATCTACATAAGACTCTAAAAGTTTACGTAAGTCTACATAGATCCATAAAAGTTCCTGTAATTCCCTGAACTTTTATGGACTATAAATGTGGATTTAGATTAGAGATGTGCAACTCTACCCGTACCCGTATCCGACTCGACCCGACCCGAAGATTGGGTACAGATGCGAAGTTGTCGGGTACAAGTAGAGAGGTTAGGGATACCGGTTTAGTTTTTTTTTATTTACTTGAAAACCGGAAGGTTTCAGTGGAAAACCACAAAATTTTAGTGGAAAAATAGAAGATTTTAGCTAAAATACGTGAACTTTTAAAAAACAGTTACTTGAGAACGTAATGATAATTTGTCATCTCCAGTCGAAAAACAAAAGTTTTTAGCTGGAAAAAGAAAAGAAGAAAATTTTTACGAGTACGAATATGGTACCCGTGCATATCTCTAATTTAGATAGACTTTGAGGATCCATGATTAGGGTTTCACTCTGCGTTTTCCGACACTTTGTAAAGCTAAAAGTGTGGTTTTTCAGGACCCAAAACTCTCGAGACAATAGCTGATTTGATTTGTGACCTAACTAGAAAGATAGGTCAATAATTTAGCTGACCTTTGCGCTACCTTGGTTGACAAGGATATCAGATTTTCTAGGTTACATTGAATTTTTATACTCTCGAAATATAAACGGACATACGTTTTGAAAGAAATTTACATATTTAAATATCAACCATAGTGAATTCTATCTAGTACACCCAGTCTTTCGCAAAGTCGGGAAACACATTCTTAAAAGCCGTCCGTATAAGTTCTTCCACGCCTGAAATGTTCCGAAAGTCTACTCTCATACGGCGGTGTACTCTTACTCACATATTCCATATTAATCCCTATGCATCTTTGTCTACCCACTGTCAGCCTATTTTAAAAATTCAGTGAGACTTTGTGTTTTTTATCGTCTTACATTCTTTCTGAGGAACATTGATAATAGACCCGTGGATTTTTCTATGACTTAAACTGTTTTCTCGTTTCCTAATATCATATAGGTTTCTTATGACAATAGACATCTTTTATAAAATGTCTAAAACATAGGAACTGTGTTGTTGGTGTGAATTATCGGTCATTTTGAAAGTATTAATTTTTGGATGAGGTTTGAGCGAGACATAAATTTCTTATTTTTCTAGGTTCATATATAGAATCAATACATTTTTCTCATAACTCATATTATCTTGTCAATGAAAGAAACAATGTTGAGTATAGATAAATTGTACAACATGAAACTCTTTGTTTCTTGAGCTAGACGAAATTCTTTAAACTTTATTCATCCCATCAAAGAAAAGCAACAGTGTTGTATTTTTTGTAGTCTACCCGTTATAGTTACTATTTCTTTTTTCTTTATAGACGTTTTGATTTATCCATGCAGGACACTATCTATATACGTCTCGATCATCGTGTTTTCGGAGAATTTTGGTCATTTTGGCACACAGAAAAAGTATGTAGAATGCTACTAATATCATTATTATTCAAGAGACTTTCTATAAAAGTCGTAAAAAAACGAAGTATCAATGAGAGACCGACGAGAGCACCTGGAAGCTATATACGTTTCTTTGTTTAAATAATGAATGGCAATACTAAATACTACTTTCCCGAAATGAAGCTTGCGAAGGGTGTTTTGTATTTTCCTTTTCTGTTTTAAACAATTAAATGTACAGAGCCTCGAGACGCCTCCTTTTGTAGAAAAACATTTGCTTTACAATCCTAGATGTTCCACAGCACGGTAAGTGCTTTCTTTAAAAAAATATAAACACAACACAGCAAAATGTCAAAATTTCTTCACAGAATTTCACTCCGGTAGCAGAGTTATCGGCTGGTCCACATAACGCCATACTTCGCCGATTAAGTTGTTAAAAACATTTTTCAGTAGAAGTGGTTCAAGCATAGCGCCAGGCGCAGTTTTTCACGCTGATTACGAATCTCGTGTTCTTTTAAAACAAAATTTTGGTTTTGGGTGAAAAAAATTGCATTTAAGGTTTAAAAATATTTAATTTCAATTTTCTGACCCAGAAATTTTGTCTAAATAATATAGCAAGTATACCAGTCGATAGACAATTAAATTCTCTACAAAATGACTCATTTTGTTTTAACAGTGAATTTTTTCGCTGAGCACCAGGCTTCCCACAGACTTCCAGGTTTCGGGTTATTTTCCAGTCGGGGTTTGAGGTTAAGAGTGTCACTTCTCCCGTAAATCGTGAGTACCTAGCAAGGGCGCTGTTAAAGATAAAAATAAAGTTCTTTTGGTCGTGCTGAGTACCGGGGACTGCTCTCCCAAAAAAAGAGTATCACAGCCTCACGAAAAATGTCACAGCAGCACCGTAATAAAATGACATTTCTGCGATCAACGAGGATCCTGGAATGATATTTTTTTTAACTAACGTGTAGACCGTTCTCTCCTCGACATAACCGCTTGCAAATAAAAATTTTCCCTGAAAATTTTCAAAAATCCCCTCGATACCAAAGAAAAAGGGCCTTTTTTGTCACAGCGTCACGCTTTGGAAATTTGCTATAAAACTGCTAAACTCAAACCAAATATTCTCTTTTTCTTCTGAAGATAGAGGACGTTGAGCTACGTCGAATGGCCTTTGAACGAACTCACTACCTTTAATAGTTTTTCAGATAAGAGCGATTTAGTGTGTCAAAAATGTCACAGCGTCACGCTTGGACATGCCGTTATCTGTCCGTGTCGAGCGTTGTTTTGTCGTACATTCCAATCCAACAAGTGTAGTTACGTCTTTACTAGACACTAATGAAAATCGGGATCTCTGCTTCTTTTCTGTCAGAATGACTATAGCCTTTTAAGTCAAAAAATTGCTTTCATACAGATGTATGAGTTCACACTAATCCAACTAGTACATACGTGCAGAAGTCAAAAGTTGAATTCAACTATTAATAGTTGAGAAATTATTTCAATTATTGAACTATTGAACCATTCAATTATTCAACTATTCATTCAACTCTTCACTTATGAAAATGAATAAAATAGAAACTATTCGAGGAGAGGCGGTGAGAGTGAATGTGGAACTGAATTAACATTTGAATAATTAAATAACTGAATTGAACTTTTGACTTGTACACTACTCAACTAGTAATATTTATTAATACTATATACATAATATTTATATTAATATTTATATTAATATTTATTTTTAAAGAAAAACTGTACAGTGAAAAAGTAGTGAAGAGAAAAGAGGGATCGCTTTCGAATTGTTTTCCAAAGTCTCGAAGTGAAGCGAACGAAGGGAAGCTCTCTAGCAACGGTGAAGAACTAAAGATAAATCATGTCGTTAAAGAAAAAAATATCTGTTGGAAAAAGAATGTTAATCTACGCGGACAGGTATATTTTTTGATAAAAGTGAAATATAGCTATGAATCTCAACAGAAAAGACGACTATATAAATATCATTTTCTATGGAAGATAAATTTGCAGGCTCATGTTTACGAAATGGATATAAAAGAAAACGACAGAAAAAAGCAAAATATTATTTATACTTATACTCAGTTTGTCTGAGAAAATGGATAATTGAACCGCTTTGAACCGCAAGGAAAATATTTAGAAGATTTTTTTATCTTAGCTTCTTGCTGACACGCCCAGGGAGTGTCAATAGACTCACCCATTATTTTAACAGCATGCTACATTCTTTAGATATTTCAATACTTTTGTCTTTCATAGGAGTCCGTAGAACTTGTGTTTGACATAACACCAGATTTGTTATTAATTAAAGAACAACAAGAACAAAGATCTAATACAGCTGCTCGACACCAATATCATATAGTCTCAATGCATTTATCTAACATGAAAGTATGTTCTTCTCATATTACTTTCTTTCTTTCTTTCTTTCTATAGAAAACTATATTAAAATATGGTGTGCTTTTTTTTTATATGAGGTAAATATCGATTATTTTTATTGATAGATCTGTCTAACTTTTCTGACGGACAATCCACATTTATCAAAAGATATGCGATATTCACTGCGTTTAGGTGGTTATTTAACATGGATATTCAAATGGTTGGCGAATATCAAGATCAATATTAAAGATTTTAAATACGAGTTAGTACAATCAAAGTAATCACAACTTATTGTTTTTCTTTACTTATTTATAATAGATTGGATCCTTATGAATCTAATAATTATAAACGAACATTATGGGAATTTTTTGCCGAAATACAACAACACTATGGACATGTAAATTATTTTTCAATTTTTCTCTCTTTTCAGATTATTCGCACCTCTGTAGTATCAAATATTTCATGAATGACAATGAAATTTCTATTTTAGCAATTAAAAATCATCAAAGTAATTCAGAATGTTGCAAAATCACTATTTCAAGAGTAAGTCACTATATAAGAAAAGAGTTCGTCGATAAGGTTGAACATTTTCAAAAGATCGACTTTATTAGTAATTGAAAAGCAAAATGGGAATTCATAATAAAATGACTTTCTACTAAAATTGCACTAACAATTTGTTGTCTCTATATTCGTTCAAATATTTTACATACAGGGTGGCCCATAAAAAACTTACCCCTTTTAGTAATAGTCTTTCTATAGCTTTAGAATTCAATTTTTTGATCCGATCCCTTTTGCGATCGAAAGAGCTGAAAAAAAGCTGCTCAGTAGTACTGTTTATATTTTTGAAAAGATTCCACCATAAGCAAAGACTAAAAAGAATTTATTAAATATGAAATCTGTGCTGAAACAAAATGATATTTGCTGTTTTACACCTTTTCTATAAAAATTCAATAACTAGACCACGTAACACTATTGTAACTGTAAGTTTTCAGAATGTACTTATAAATGTTCGTAGCTTAAGTAACATATAAATCATTTGGAATTACATTGATGCTGTTATAGAAATGTTCATACAACAGTAGTATTCTATATTATCCATAAAGAGATGTGTGGTATGAATTTCACTATTTTACCACTTGAATTAGCTTTAATCACGATCGATTATATTTAGTAGATAGAGCTTTAAATGGCTACAAAAATATGCGTAAATGATTGATAAAATATGCTTGATAATGTATAATGAAGAGGCAAATAACATTAATTGGCATTAAGCTTAGAAGATCGTGTGGAAAAAAAAAGAATCTTTAAAAAATAACCAAGAATTATGCGGAATTCTTTCTTTCATTAACAAAATATTAGAAAGTCGAAAACCACAACAAACTTCAAATCAATAGCGGTTGTCTTACAGCTCCTTTTTCACTCTCTGGCGAAGATGTGCCATTCCAGCATAAATTTTATATTTAATAAATCTGTTTTAGCCTCCGTTTATGGTGGAATCTTTTCAAAAATATAAACAGTACTACTGAGCACCTATTTTTCAGCTCTTTCTATCGCAAAAAGAATCGGATCAAAAACTGAATTCTAAAGCTATAGAAAGACCATTACAACAAGGGGTAAGCTTTTTATGGGTCACCCTGTATCTAATGTTATTTTATTAATTTATAACCGCAGTTGTTTTTTAGGCGTTTTTTGAGATTACTGTGGTATTATTTATGCTCGAATTGTTTACTCATGTTTCCTAACCACTTATTCGAGGAGGGGTATTTCGAGTACTTGAAAATACGGTTTCAATCGTCCCTCGCCAAGAGCTCGATAAACGAGACTTCGGACCCTCAATATTAGCGTTTGAGGGGTTATCGATTTAGAGCCCTCGGGTTTCAGATATGTAGGACCCTAGGGGACTAAATCAATAACCTCTCGGACGCTTATATCGATGGTCCGAAGTGTAATTTTTCGAGAGATCGAATCCTCGGCGCACCCTTCAAACGAATTTTCTCATCTGCATCGGTTGTTATTTGATTATCATGGCTCTTTGAATTTCATTTTATTTAAAAATGAACATGTTATGCTTTCGGAAGATAATTTGTCTATAGGTATCAGATTTATAAAAAATAACAACTGTGACATATCAGGATAATTCCTCGATATTGCAGTCTGAAGGTTCTATAGTATTTTGATGATAAATAAAAATAACTTTACACGAAAATGAGAGAAACTTAATTTATTAATCATCTTTGTTTAGATCTACAAAAGGACCAAATATTGTACGTTTACAGCGTTACTTTCACACTGATACTATTGTACGTTCGTTTAATGAACATGAAGCATTTGGCAATCATATAGTTAAAGTAAGATACGGTTTTGTATATTCTGTACAAGCATGAGAAGACCTACATGAAATATGAGTTAGTGGCGTAGTCACCGGGTGGGCTCAGCCCCCCTACTAGTTGGTTTTGCCCATCCACTAAAAGTTTTATAATTCATACTACTCTGTGGTAATATCTACCACTTTGAAAAAATTTGAGACAACGTCCACCCACTAACAAAATCCTGGCTACGCTACTAATATAAATGTTTTATTTGATTCATTTATATTTTCTATTTTGTAGTTTTTTAATCGTTCCACTAATACTTCATATATTGCCCATATCAGTTGCTATCAGCCACGAGATAGTTGTCTAATAGCATCTTCAAGGTAAGTTTATGCATTGTTAATAACCAAACAGTTTATGATTTATCATTCTTGACTGAATCGTTTTTCTTATACAGTAACATTTCACTTGTACGTAATCTATCTCAATGGGGACAATATAAATTAGAATGGTCAATTATCTACAAAGATTTAATTGAAATACCTACAATTGATAGTAGTTCAAAGCAAATAATATTTAAAACAAATGTAGTTATGAATTTGTTATATAAAATTCTCACATATACGTATTCTTTTTCTTTGTTTAGAATAATAACAAGAAAACTATCTATTACAATGACCATATGGAAGCACAGGTTTGTCAGATTTTATGAAATAAAAAAGACATTAATTATAACATCTAGGATGTATTTTGCTACCGATATCAAACATATAAAATTTTCTCTTGTCAAAATATCCTTTGGAGCGTATTAGAGAAAGTAAATCATCCCTCTCCTCGATAAGTGTCGTATAAGGTTTTTTGGCAAACATTTTTACATTAGCCTGTTGGTCGATAATAGTGACAAAAGGAGCTTTTAAATGCAAACAAATGAATCTGTGACGTAATCAGGTGCTTTTTTCCTCGAAGTTGTTAAGTCTCATTAAGCGGTTCTAATAGCATTTTAAGCTTATTGTGAACATTTTTGAGTCTTATGCCGGTATTTTTAATGGTAACGAGAAAAAATTTAGCAATTAGTTATCGAAGTTCATTCAGTGAGTTTTGAGTTTATTTTGAGCTTTTGTTTGAAATCTCGTCTGATCCATCTTCGAGTTTGATTGAGCAATTATGGCGCACAGTGTGCATCCAGGTGGACATTTAGCAGAAAACCGAAAGTGCTCTTTTCCCAAATTCAAATGAAGACTATACTTCATTATATAAACTATTTAAAAGCATACCGTATTTTCTTTCAGGTATCAAAAAATCTGAGAAAATATTTAGCCAGAAATTAGCCTGAACAGACAGGGGCAGCAAGTAAAAAAAAGTTTAGAATTGAATGAAAATGAATATAAAAACGACACAGATTCTGAATTAAGACATATTTTTCGTCAAACGTATCAGATATGAGTAAAGATTAGTAACTATTTATGGAAAAATGTTTAAGGACCGAACACTTTTGATATCTGCCTGCTATTAGACAAATGCACAATGTGAAACGAGGTTGAATGAGGAAACCACCAGTGCCAGCAACGTTTGATCTAAGTCTTCTAATATTAGTCTCATTGAGGCTGCGTTACTAAGCAGTCATGCACCACTTTCAGTTAAAACATCATTATAATCGATGAGAACGGACACCAGGTATCGACCTACTTTAGTCGTAGATGATCAGAACTGATATCGATTCTGTTCGAAAACCGAAATGAGTTCATCATTTGTTGTCAAGTCTTCGTTTCTTTATTTTAGTATATAGTTGCAGAAATTACTGATATTTTGTCTTCCGGCGACTATGGCATTGCACTACAAAACAGACTTTAACTTAATCAACAATCTTCTCTTACCCTTGTCGAGTCGACGAACATAATGGAAACTTCCAGTTTAATGTTGTTTTTGATGTTTTTTACTGTTACCTTCGGTGCTGTACTTTCTTGAAATAAACATATGAATAACGAAAATCTAGTGTGTGACTGAGTGATCAACTACTGTAAGAAACGTCTGCATATCACAAATTTTATTTTGTGTGACATTTTACAGTTCAATGTTGATAAAATTTTCACTGTTATCAGAATTGATTAGATTTCAGCTCTGATTATCGCCAATTACTGACAAGATCGATGTAACGGTGCCCGAACGCTGAAAAAAGTCCAATTTTGCGTTTGCTACTTTGTATATAAAAAAAATTTCTATAAATACTATGACCGGCATTGTTGTAGACTATATAATTCAACATAGTTTACTTGAAATAGGAACACGTTTAGTGAAATTAATTAAATAATCGAGTGAGATTTGGTTTTATTTAAAATATGCTCTAACAATCAAAGTTGTAAGTAATCTAAAATTCTAAACGACACTGTATTTTCACAAAAAATAAAGCAGTTCCGATAAACGAAGGAGCTGTACTTTATTGCATTTACATTTCTACTTATTTAGAATTAGATCAATACGTCATTCATAATAATTGATTCAAAATTAAGATTATCTCTGTTACTGTAGTCTCTAACATTTCACATGATGATCTCAACAGCACAAATATACTTTGTACCTTTCAGGACCGCAGAATCAAGGATATCTGAAAAGATTTTTCTACATTGCCGTTTCCAAATCTCGAAGAGGTACGGAATTGTTTGAAAATGTGCCAGGTGAACATAATGAAACTATTGTTTAAAATATTTGTGTAACTGTGGCTGCTGGATTCGACTTGGTCGGATTTGATTTCCAGGATGAAAAACTGTATCTACAATCTTTTACCATGAACCGGTTTCTAGAAACTCAGATCTCGCAAATATTTTTAAGAGAATTAACTTCTCTAGCTACAATGTGCGCGATTCGATCCCAGAAATGCCTACGTCATGCAATAGGAATTTCTTATATTGTTTGATCAGCGAACAATTTGTATACACCCAGTTAACTGGTACTGATGCATACCTACATAGTAGACACCTGAAACCTTCTTACAACAGAAACAGTATAAAGGGAACATCTGGCAATGTTTATGCTAGAAAAGAAAATATTCACCGTTGCACGATGGTCATATTTTGTATTTTACGTTTTCGTCAATGTATGCGAAGTGTATTCACGTACATTAACTACAGGAGAAATAATAAATTATCAGAAAAAAGGACCTTTCTGTCTGAAATCTAATCAATAAGAGAATCAGATGTCTCAAAACTTATTCGCACCGTCTATATTCTCAACGATGGATGTTCTGAAGGCCTGAAATCCATATACAGGTATTTTCAAACGTGACTTTATTTGTATTGAAGAAATCGAGATGTTCATTCTCTCTAGCAAAAGAGTGCTCTCTGGAATGGAAAACGATTTGGAAACTCTTTCGAAAAAACCGGTTTGGATTTTGAACTGAAATATGAAACCCTATGGTATTTTGGAGTGACCTCAAAAACCCAAAGGATATTTTAGAAGTAGTTTTTCATATCAAACGGGAGGAGCGTAGACATGCGCCGCAAATATTCTTCTGACAATAACTTTTTAAACACACGTCGTATATGCATGACTTTTCCTCCTTTTACAGTTTATTCGACATCTAGTCACTGATGTCAGCATAATTTTCGTAAGCGGTTTTTCTTTTACAGTCTAGTTTTCTTCTATTAATCCAAACAGCCTCGAGCGAAAAACATTTTTTAAGACAGCATTTTGAAAGTTGCTATTAACAGTATACATACTTCTTCACAAAAGAAAGTTAATGCATGAACGAGAAGACCGGACAAATGCGAATAGCTGAGATCAACAAAGAAGAAAGTCGTGTGTTATGACAACTTTCATATAATGGGGATTCTCATGAATGAACAAAAAGATTAATTGCTTATATTAAGCGGAGCGAATTTTTTCATTCTTGCCATTTTACAGTGTCTTACTTGTAGTATCATCCAGCCTTGTAATAAAGCTGCCTCGAGTATACCAGTTTTTCTTCTTTGTTACATGTTCATTCAACGTTATTGACATACATTATAATCACAGTAAGGTCACAAAACAGAAAGCTAACCATCAGAAAAAGAGTAATATCAGAGATTTACATTTCATGGAGGAAGGATATTTTATCAACATCCAGTTTGGCACTTAAATGCACCATGTTTTACCGGCTTACTCTTCGAAACATGATGCACGTAACAAGTACACAGTTATTTCAGAACAGTATATCTGGTGGAAAGTGAAGAAGTCTTTTTCACCTTTTCTATTGTTGCAAAGTTGAACTAAAGGGTTTTTTTGAAGTATGGCTAACTGAGAAGATATTTTGAAAATCAAATTCGAAAGTGAATGCTTCAAGGATATCATGAGCGGTTGATCTAACGATATCCACCTATATTTTTCAATTCTGATTCATCATCCGACTGGAATTAGATCTCAAAATATACGTGAGATAGATTGATATCGTATTGCTCGTCTATGGGTTTTACCGTAGAGAAACGTTTGCTGTATGTGATGAAGCATCGAGCTTATACTTAAAGAGAATGTGTATTTAAGAAATACTAACGCTATGAACAGTTCGTTGCTAGAGCCGAAAGCTAATCTAGCATCCTGTAAATGAGATGCTCTGGAACTATGCCGCTATCCTCTGTGCGACAAACAGGACCGAACTGATCTTCGCTACATCCTGTAAGTCACCAATAACAAAGCGATATTACACCGAGAGAGTCGATAATCAACCATTTGGTGCATTTACTTTGAGATCTTTTAACAGGGCCCATATGCTAACTGAACTTATACAGACGAATTTCTCAGATCTCTCACCCAGCTTTTTACTTTCAAAACTGTTAGGAGAAAAACGGCTCAACTATGTAACAAATGTAGTAATGTAAAAAGGAAAGGGCTTATTTTTTTCTGCTTCCACACACCGAAAATGTTGTGTACTAACCACAATTTTAGTTATATATTATTTAATATTTCAAACTTATATATTAAAATAAAAAATTAAAAAAAGCAGTGCATGGCTGCAATAGACAAGGCATGGGCGAGTCCGAGCCGAGTCCGAGTCCTTACAAGTTCAGTCCAAGTCCGAGCCCATTTCGAGTCCGATAATCCTTTAGATTCTTTTTTGATGAGGATGGTCTATATTTTAATTTGCTGAGCTCTGGACAGATATTTGATTTTTTGAAAATAAGGTTACATTCCATGTCCTTCTTCCGAACAAAATTTCCAATTTCATGTGAAACAGCAGGTGTTGTCATTTCGCTTTTCGTTTTTCTCGGCTCATTTGTGTTAAAAGTTGAGTAGATCGGGCTCGAAATACGAAAACTCAAGTCCGAGTCCGCCAAAAAATCTTCTAGTCCGGACTCGGACTAGCCCATGCCTGCAATAGACTACGCGATAAAGTGATCTTAACACTGCGATAACAAAAAAGAACCGACTATTAAAAGAATACATACACGTTGTGTATACAATAGGTTAAAGGTAAAAGAAGAGAACAACGTAACCATGAGCACAATACACAAACACGTGGGCTGTTCTTTTCTTTTTCGCACCATGTGTGTGTTATATCAGTTCAGAAAGATACAGAACAATCGAGACTTAGACCGCGACTCAATAAAAATTGCGACTAGGGCAATACTACTCTCTTTATATATCTGTGATTGTCTCGGTGCGACTCGCCATATCGCGAATCGTGTTGTGATAGCACAGAGTCCGCGCTCAGAGATATTCACTTGGTTTTTCGAAAATTTCTCAACCTTTCAAGTCCCGCCGCGAGATCGCGAATCTATAGCGATCGCGCCGCAACATAGCGACAGTATAGCGATCACACCGCGTACATTATTCATGTAGCGAATCTTAAAAACAGATTTTCTTTTAACATAGGATTAGGTCAAGATCACGGCGTGAGATTAAGAATTCAGCGCGCTATTACTCCAGAACTTAGAGAAGATGGTACACTTTTTAAAATTCAGACAGCATTTCTGAGATCCATTATAATACCAAACTTATACATTTGAGGTAGCATAAATGTTAGCAAACTCTTGGGATTGGACAACACAGAAAATCAGAGTGAAGTCTCTAGGTGAAAATAGACTGATAGAACGTGGAAACTACGATGCTCGTATTTGTACTTTGACAGTGTGAAAATATCAAACAATGAAACTATGAAAGTGATACTATCCATCCCGAAATACAAGACCCGTGGGCATTTTTTGAATCACTTTTGATAGGAATGAGATAGAGACCTGCGATTTTCGCTGTTCAATAGCATTGAACAGCGAAAAGACTTGAGCAGAACTTTTCACAAGCAAAAGCAACTTTTGAAAAAATCCAGAGATCGGGATTTCAGGGGATCTTTGGAAAACCAGCA